CGCTCCCTGCCTGCCCCAACCCCTCTCCACACCCCTGCCTCCTGACAGCCCTCCCCAGAACTCCCGACTCATCCAACACCCCCCAGCTCCTTGTCCCCTGACCACCTCCTCCAGAGACCCCCCACCCTAACTGCCCCCCTAGGACCTTCCTTGCTCCCTGTCCCCTGACTGCCCTGACCCCTATCCATCCTCCACCCCTGACAGACCCCAGGACTCCCATGCCCCATCCAACCCCCCCTGCTCCCTGACTGCCCCCTCCAGAGACCCCCCCACCCCTAACCACCCCCCTGGGATCCCACCCCCTATCCAACCCACCCTGCTCCCTGTCCCCTGACTGCCCCCACCCCTTATCCAACCGGGGCGGCTCCAGGTTTTCTGCCGCCCCAAGCAGCAAAAAAAAAAAAAAAAAAAAGTGCGGCAGCGCGATCACGCCGCTCCACTCTTCAGTGGCAATTTGGCGGCAGGTCCTTCGCTCCGAGAGGGACTTGCCACCGAATTGCCACTGAAGACCCAGACGTGCCACCCCAATAGCAGCCGGAGTGCCGTCCTTTATGGAGTTTGGGTGGGGGAGGGGATCTGGGGTGCAGGCTCTGGGATGGAGTTTGAAAGTGGGAGGGGGTGCAGAGGGTGGGAGTGCAGGCTCTGGGAGGGAGTTTGGGGGGCAGGAGGGGGTGTGTGGGAAGGGGGAGGGGTGCATGCTTTGGGAGGGAGTTTGGGGATAGGAGGGGGTGCAGGGGTGAGGGCTGTGGGGCTGAGGATGAGGGGTTCATGATGCAGGAGCGGGCTCAGGGCTGGGGCAGAGGATTAGGGTGGATGAGGGGTTTGGGGCATTGGAGAGGCTCAGGGCTAGGGCGGAAGGGCAGGGTAAGGGCAACCTGCCCTGCCATTAGAGGATGGGGGGCACTAGGACCCTAGGGCAGCAGACAGCAGTTGAGCAGGAATGTGCTACACCAGCAGCACAAGGAGGCAGGGGAGAGGCTCACGCTGCTTTCTTTGAGGCAGGGACGCTCCGGGGTGGTGCTAGCGGGGAGACCCGCAGGGGGGTGGCAGGCGGAGACCCACGGGGGGGGTGGCAGGCAGGGAGGAGACCTGCGAAGGGGGTGGTGGCAGGCAGAGGCTGGCCTGGGACAGCGGGGGAGGGGAGGCCGCTTGCTGCTGCCGGGAGAGTGGAGCCATTTGCCCACCCGTGCATTAGGGTGTGCCCATGCACACCCGGCACACCCCATGCACACGCCTATGCCAGTAATACATTTTCACATTTTTAGAAGGTCTCTTTCTAGAAATCTATAATATATAACTAAACTATTGTATGTAAAGTAAATAAGGTTTTTAAAATGTTTAAGAAGCTTCATTTAAAATTAAATTAAAATGCAGATCTTATCAGTTTAGTGTGATCCTTGCCCTTGCTTTTCCTTGCTGAGTTTTCCAATGTCTGGCACGTATTTGGATACTTTAAGCTGCACACAGGCTTCTCAGCGATCAGTTGTTAACCGGCTCCGAGAGAGACAGAGGACAGATTTCATGTGTGAAAATACCTGTTCACACAGGTATGTGGATCCAAATGCTGAAAGCATTGCAAATGCAATTTTCTTCAAACAGTTAAATTTCACTGGCAGGGACATCCAGCAAGTCAGAATAGAGGCCCCATGATCTCTCTCGGTAGCTTCAAGTGCACTCCGCACATCTCCAAACTTCGATGCCCACAATTCTGAGTTTTTTAACTGAATGAGCTGCATTTTGAAATCTTCAACACCCATCCACTGAAACACAGACAAATTCAAGTCGCTTTCGTTGAACTTTTCAGGTTTAATTAGAAAAGAAAGCATTGGGCCAAATCGCTAGAAATCTTTAAATCTTCCAGAAAATTCTGATTCCAGTTCTTGCATGTACATTCTAATCTCAATGTCAAACGCAGTGCGCTGTTCCACGTGGCGTGATGGTGATGTAAGCAGCAAGTCAGGACTTAAAAATATCCCAGTACAGTGGTGCTGGAACAATTTTTAAGGTGGGGGTGCTGAGCTGTGCCCCCTCTTGCCCCTGTCTGCACCCCTCACTGCCCCAGGCTGGGGCCAGTGGGCCACAGCGGGGGCGGCTCCAGAGCCCTGGGCCGGCAGCCAGGACCCCAGGCCGGCAGCAGAGCTCCCCGGACTGGTGGCTGGGACCCGGGGCCAGCAGCGGGCTGAGCAGGGCTGGAGGACGGCACCCCAAGCCAGCAGCAGAGCCCCCGGGACCGGTGGCCAGGACCCGGGCAGTGTGAGTGCCACTGAAAATCAGCTCAGGTGCCGCCTTTGACACAAGTGCCATAAGTTGCCTACCCCTGCAGGAGATAAGAGTCTTGCTCTGAATGTAACAGAATTACTACTGCTCTTTCTTCTATTTTGGTTCCCTAGCTGTAGTGTTTATTTTCCTCCAAACACACAAGCATATTTTAAAGCAAATTTCCATACCTTGGTTACTACCACCACCTTAGATGGATGGTTATGAAGCTGCAATAGTTTTAGAAGTCCACTTTACTTATCACTCGATTTAATTTTCGGATTTCATTCACACAGGGCAAGGAAAACCAGAGTCAGTTTCACTTTCAGGTGCCCAATCCTGCTAAAGCTCCAAATAGTGTAGGAGACAATTTAGGCAAATAAACACGACCTTTGCTTGGGATAAAGAAGATTCAAACAGCAAAAGTGCTTGTTATAAGTGTCCTATCAGCGAGGAAAGGTGCAATATGTAATATGTTAAAAACATTCAAAAGGGATTCCGATTCCCGGGTCACAAATGAAGGATGTAGCTGGAATACTCAGAACGAGGATGGAAAACTATGTTAGCACAAGTTTCCTTTACACCACAATCTCTAGGGGACAAACGTTTCCGCGATAGGAGCATGACATGTAAAGTTCCGCCTGTCTCTCGGAGAACATTGTTTCAAGAAGTCATTTCTTCAAAGTAAGATTCTTCGCGAGAGAAAGCAAGAAGTGGTTTGCTAACTACATCCCGCACTCACCTTGCCCGCACTGGGTGGGGTGGTTAATATGCCTGTGTGTAAACACACAGCCCCATGTATGGAAGTCAGTTCTGAAAACCACGTACAGCCTCTCGAGCAGTCCCAGAAACTAGAACTGAATAATAGTTTTCTTTTGAGAGCTATTGTGGGAGAAAGAGAGAAGAAAAAAGCCCACTGAATCTTACACGTTGTACCTAGGGACGAAATTCCGGCTTTTCGGAGCAACACACAGAAATCTGAAAACAAATCGGTAGTTTTTTGACCACCCCACCTTCCCTCCAGGAGTAGGAATTAATCCACCCCCCCGGCTCCCTTGGAAAACCAGCGCCTTAAAAGTAGCTGCCAACTACACAGCTGGCAACACCATCCGCTAGTGCATTGAGCCTAGCAGAAGCACCAGACCCTGCCCCGCACCTACTAGCCCGTCAGCTGGAGCCGAGTGACCAGCTGACCGGGCGGGGCGTTCCCTCGCCCTCACGCTTTTGGAATCCCGCACTCCCTTCTCCCCCTCCCGAGTTAGCCCAGGCGCTCCGGCTTTAACCATCTCCTTATATGGACACCAGAATGTCTGACGTCATCCAACTCTGGGAAACCAGAGCCTATGCAACCAAACTTGGTTGGGAAAAGCGGGCCGGAGCCGTTGGAATGTTGATGGACGCGACGCCGCAGCCATTGGGAGCCACCGGCATGGCTCCGCCATTGGGCGGGAGCGGCGAGTGGGCGGGGAAGGGGAGGGGTAGGTTGCACCGTTTGAAAGCCCCTGCCGGGCTGCGGGAGGCGACGAGTCAGTAGGGCAGGCGTTGCTGAGCGAGGAGTGTGGCGAGTTCGAGTCCCGCGGCTGGCCGAGCCGGGAGTTCTGTCGGGCCGCTGTAGTTTTTTCGCGGCGTTGGTAGGGGAGTGGCGCCTCCGCCAGAGAAGAGAGGTTCGCCAGGAGTTTCTCCAGAGTTCGGGCTCCGGCCCCCTCGCCACGCCGCCGCCATGCCCGTCTTCCACACCCGCACCATCGAGAGCATCCTGGAGCCCGTGGCGCAGCAGATCTCCCACCTGGTCATCATGCACGAGGAGGGGGAGGTGGACGGCAAGGCCATCCCGGACCTGACCGCCCCCGTGGCCGCAGTGCAGGCTGCCGTCAGCAACCTGGTCCGGGTGAGTGTGGGACGAGGACAGCCAGGCACCCGCCTGGGAAGGGCTTCCCGCGCCAGCCGCTCCCGGGCCCGGCTCCCCTGCCTCGAACTTCCCTCTCCGCTTAGTGCCAACCCCTGCTCGCTCCCTGACCGTGTCTTTCCTCAGCCCCCATCCCCTCACGCTCCTCCCCCTCCCCAGCGCCCAGGGAGGGGAGCTGAGGCAAAGGATACTCCGTGTGCCCTAGTCACCCGCCAGCTCCCCTCTCCTCAGGGCCTCCAGTCACTCTCCTCCTGCCCCCGCTCCAGCCTCCTCAGGGTGCGGTGAGAAGTGATAGCGCCAGCCACAGGGCCACTCGCTCTGATCCTGCTCTTCCAATCCCTCCTTGTCACAGGCACTCTACAGCTCTCCCCTACGTATGGGGGACAGCTCCAGTCCCTCTCTGTCTTATTTTCTTTAGCCAGGGTTTATCAAATCTCCTCACCCAATACACTTTGCATCTATATTTTACATTCACATACACACACAGTCCACTTACAGTAACGTGCTCCTTTCTGCATGGCAGAAAGATGCTGGCTTCCTAAGTGGTGAAGACGTTTCAGTTCAGAAATAATTGGGTCCAACATTGAAAAGCTTTTCTTCGGTTTTTATTTAAAAAATACACCAGATGCTTTGTTTAGTTCTTGTTTGTCCCTTGAGTTGTTTTGTGAGTTCTGCTGATTGTTCAATAGCCCCATATGCAACAGTTGCTTAAGATCTTAATGGCTTAAAAATCTATTCTTTTTTATTTTATGCACTCTTTTCAGAGGCAGTAATGCACCATAATTATTGGTATCTGCATCATGCTTTCCATATGGTGAAGGATACATTTGGAAACCGCTGATGGATATCTTTGACCTGATGATGCATAATCAATCTCTTAGTTTTGTCAATAAAGTGTTTACCTCTATTTTGTAAATTGCTTTCTCCCTGAGTCCAAGTGCTGCTTTGATGTGATAAACTGTTTTCTTTTTTTTAAGTGTGTAAATCAGTAATGATATTTGTGTTCCTTTGTAGTGAAGAGGGTTGCATAGTTAGCACAGCTGTTGGTATGTGTGGAGTCAGGACTTCTTGTTTGTTTCAGATAAAAAAGCTGGGATTGTGTTTTTCAGCAATGAGTTACTGCTTCCCAAAATACTAACCTTACCTAGAGCCAATGAAAAGTCAATTTTAATCTTTGATTTTTTTTTTTTCAAGTGTTACCTTCAGAGTGTTACTTTAACAGTTTGCCATGTCTTCGTTGCTAACTGACCTTGTGTCTGGGAAGTCCAAAAGACTGGAAAGTATTAAAATGTTTTCATTGGATTTCAAACACTGATATTAAATTATATCTAAAGAATAACAAATTACAGATCGGCAACAAACATGCACGTTTTGCTTTGTAAATCGTTAGGTTGCTGTACCATTTCCTATTTCCACAACTCCCTAGAGATTGCACATATCTCTTCCTCGCACATCTGTGGCTTTATAGAGAAGAGGAATTACTCCCATATCACATTCAATTCTTCATTTTTGTCATTAATCTTTTAAGATGCTCATAAAAAGAAATTTCTGCCTTGTCAATATAAGTTCTTTAAAAACTGGGACACAACTCTTTGCCACCTTCTAAGCATTAATCTGCACAAAAAAATCCTGTTCATTTTAGAAAAGATTTTTTACTACTTTTAATGTGGTACTGCAGCAGGACACAACATCTACCCTGGAATATTAACTCTACTCCTTTTGTACATACAGATAAATATTGGATGACTGCTATACTAATGCTTCAGAAAATAAAACAAAATCTATTGTTTAGATTGAATGTCATGCCAAACAGGACTGACTTTCAAGCTCAGACCATGGGGCTGCTGGGAGATATAGGGGAAAAATACGGCAGGAAGGCCTCTAGAAAGGATATGTGGATTGTATGATTACAGGCCATCGTAATGCCCTAGGAGTGCCATACGGTACTTATTACTGTGGTATTACTAGAGCCCTGCAAATCTGCAGATATCTGCGGACCACATTTGTGGATTGGATGAGGATATAAATTTTGTATCCGCCCGCGGCTCTAGGTATTAGTACTCACTTTTAACTTTAACTTTATTACATTGTAGCAGTATCTGTTAGGGAAAGAATCTTGGGCACAGAGTTTTAACAATAGTGATGTATTCTCTGGAATATCTGTGCTTTTTGCTTAGCTCCCTCTGGGCAAAGGAATTTAGTGTATAGGCTCTGAGGAGGTGAACCCTAGGTGTCTGGGGTAGTTTATACGCTCATTTTTCTTTCAAGGAGAATTTTGTAGTGAAGTTTTGTGGTGTTCACTGTGTCAAGCTAGTTTGATTTCACTTCATTATGCAATCATTTTATTATGGAAAGAACTTTAACTGGATAAAAGTAGATTCTGTTGGTAAAAAAGTCACAAAATGAGATTCTCTTATTCTTGACTATTAACACCACTAAGTTTGTCTTCCATTTTGGGCTGTGGCTATGGGAGGCATCCCAGCTTCATTTAACAAATAGTTGTCCATTAGCTATATGGAGACCACCGGTCAGGGATAAACCACTTCCTCCCCTGACGAACCAAGAGACGCACCCCACCCATGTACCTATTCGCTACACCAATACTGACTTGGATTCTAAATACATTCTATGGGCGGCATACCCGAGATCACTTATTCACTGATGCTTTAAAAATTCCCACACCCCAATCTGGGTCTGTGCTGGTTATGTACTATGTATGTATCTTGTGAACCTTGTAACCGATACTTGTAATCTCTCATAACTCAAGCCTGACCCCAGATGTACAGTACCTTTCTTCTTAACTTGTGTAAACTTGACTTTAAACATTAGCTTTTATAACAAGTATGGTTTCTTCCCTGTGGCCATGTGGCTTTGGCTTGCTTCAAAAATACAAAGCAACTAGAGATGGTGTTGAGTCAGAAATGTTCCTGAAAAAAGAAGGTGCCTTAGGTGTTCTAGAAAGTGTTCTACCAAACCCTGTTGTGGAGAAGGAACTAAGTGGTTTGAAAACCATTTGATATGAGATGCTGTCAGAGAGTAAATGTTAAGCAAAGTTGTAAGATGGGTATGTTACGGGACAAAGACTGAAAAAAAACATATGCCAGAGGATGCATGGAGACACAGAGGTTTGGACTCCTGCAGGGACGGTCCACCCAAACTGCTCTTTAGGAACATTGTGTGTTTGAATTTGAAGACTCAGCAGCTGGAGAGAGGGAGCAGATTCATCTGTTGGCTCCTGTGGCTGCAGAAAGGAAGCTTTTGTGAACGTATGCAGTCCCTATTACAGTATAAACTAGGAAGGTTACTGAAAGTTTATTGATCTGTTGTTTACTCAAATTAAATAAAAGTTTAGTGTTTTGTCAAACTTAGAAGTTTGAGGCATAGTCAATTGGTAGGTATTGAAGAGATCTGCAGGACCCTTGACATAGTTAAGAAAAACAGCAAAAAAGTAGCCCAATATTTACAGGCAAGTGTCCTGAGATGAAGATGGAGGGATAAAAAGGCTCAGCTGATAATGTGGTGACATTGAAATTGAATAATGTGTGTGCCAAGGAAGGGGCAGGTTGTGCCACTTGTCCACACTCTGGAACTTCCATTGCTAATATCAGAATTTTTTGTAAAAATTATAAGTGTAATCAACACTCATAAAGAAATCACCTTGAAGTTGACCTTTGACAGAACATCCAGTGGGTTACTAGCTGGAAGACTTACGCCATGTACTATCAATGCTCAGATCCCATGCGGAGTGTTTGGAGAGAAAGGTGGGTGGCTGAAGCTTCTTGCACAAAGGTAGTATTTTTGTGGGGTAAAACTAAGGCCTGGTCCACACTAACCCCCCACTTCGGACTAAGGTACGCAAATTCAGCTACGTTAATAACGTAGCTGAATTCGAAGTACCTTAGTCCGAAATTACCGCAGGTCCAGATGCGGCAGGCAGGCTGCCCCGTCGATGCCGCGTACTCCTCTCGCCGAGCTGGAGTACCGGTGTCGACGGCGAGCACTTCCGGGATCGATTTATCGCGTCTAGACAAGACGCGATAAATCGATCACAGAAGATCGATTGCCTGCCGCCGAACCAGGAAGTAAGTGTAGACGTACCCTAAGACAATGATGGAGAAGCTTCAGTTTTAGTACACAACTGACACAAATTGAGGCAATACACACCTCTCTAAATTAAGCAGTCTCTCTGTAGATTGAAGAAGTCAGTGCTATAAGTAGTTTATGTTAGAGGGTTTCCTTTGCTGCCAGTGGGCTAAAAACTAGAGTCCCATGAAATCCTTTTTGTATAATTTTTCATTTAATTTTTCAGGAGTTTCTTGTATTATCCATCTTCTTTACCCATCCAGGGTTGGGTCCTGCACCAGTGGGGTGTGTGTGGAAGGCCGTGATGGGGGTGGTGTTGCAGAATGAGCCTGCCCCAAACTCACCCAGGAGCTGTCGCATGCCGTTGGGCCCAGCTCCCCGCTCCAGGCATTGCAACCTGGCTCTTGGGGGTGATAGCATTGCCCAAGTTTGGCCCAGCCACCTTTCCGTCATGATTACTGGCCCGCTGGCCCAAACCTGAGCGGGACTCAAGGAACAGGAACTGCTGCTGCAGGGTGAGTTTTTTGTTTCATGTTGCTTTAATCACTGGGTTTTGATTTATTTGGGGGCTCTCTTAACTGTGAAACAGAAAGCTTAAACTGAGCAGTAACTGGTGTGGTGAACAGGCGAGTGTATTTGACAGCCCTATTCAATTTATTTGCTTTGTAAAATGAAGTTCAAAATTCTAACTCCGGTCAAACTTGACTGGACAAAGTTTAGCATAATGGTGATGGATAAAATTAACTAGTGACTCAGTTTTAGAAACTCAGTCACTAGTTAATCTACCATTTTAAGAGAAGTTATAGTACTGTGAAAAATTACCTGTAATTAGGAAGTAGTTTAAAAAATAAGCTTTGTGAACTGTCTTGCTGGGAAGTCTTTGGTCATGGACTGGTTTC